TATCGTTGAGAGAAAAAACGTTGGAAGATCCGTGGATGGCGCTAATGGGCATTATTACCATTTCCATGACATGAAGGAGTGGATTGTTCTTTCTTCATTGTACATTTGCCAGTTTAGTGCCAGTAGATTATACCGAAACGATGTCTAAGCTGCCATTCCTTTCCTGCTGCGCAAGTTCCACCTTCATGTCCTAGCTGTTTGCAATGTCCAATACGTACGATCACTCGACCTTCAGTAATGTCCATTTCCGGTGCAGCTATGTTAGGATCGTGGTCTACCCTCTCTCCGACTGCCTTGTTTCCGGAGGTGGAAAATTTAATTTCTTCTTCGGATCTCTGGTTTTGGACATTAATCTTCATGAGGTGGGAGGACTAAACTGCCGCGCCCTTCCATGTATTGCCATCTTCAAGACCTAGTCTCGTCTCCGGCATATGGCTAGAACACGAGAGAAAGGAAACTTGAACATTTGCTATTTCCCACACGCACACCTGCCTCTCTCGCGACCTTTTTGCATCCGATCATCGCGACGTGCTGTAATTGCTTTCATAATCTCTTGCTCTCGTCAAACGGCACGAGATCATATGTGTTAGCCATGGCCACATCACCTTAAAGTTTCTCCATTACAGGTGGAGTGTAAAGATCTCCCTTTGGCAATGCTTCCTTTGCAAGCCCTCTCCTAACATTGAAAACCAATCGATAAAGGTGCACACATGCATGATGGGTATTATATTGTTTATAGAGCAAAAGATACAAAAAACCCTAAACTATGTCTATCGTGACACATTCACCGTAATTTTTTTTTGTGACATCAAAAATCCAAAACTTGTACTTGTATGACACATTTGCCCTCTGTTAAAGTTCTGTCAATGAGAACTGTTAAAAATCTACCTATATGGACGTCGGAAAGCAAACGGTATTGACATGGCTAAGTAACATAAAAACTGTCGTTATTTTGACTGAAAAATCATCTAACAGAACTTTAACGGAATGGAAATGTATCGCATTGGTACAATTTTGGGGTTTTTTATGTCACAAGAAAAAGTTTAGGGTAAATGTGTCACAGTGGGTATAATTTAAAGTTTTTTGTAACTTTTTCCCTTGTTTTTATAAGATATGATTAAAATATTTAATTGATTTTATTTATATAATTATTATGCATAAATAATATGTACTAACATAAAAAGGGAAGTAGGTTCCTATTTTTCAGTCCTTGATATACCCTTTATTAGGGATAATGACACAAATAGTCCTTGAACTTTGGCTGAATGTACAATTTGGTCCATGAACTTTTAATTTGTTCAATGTAGTCCCTGAACTTTAGCCTAATGTTCAATGTGGTCCCTAAACTTTTGGTATATGTTCAATTTAGTCCCTAAACTATATGAAAATGTATAATATAGTCCCTGAATTTGAATTAATGAAATGACTACATTGAACATTTTTATAAAGTTCAGGGACTATATTGAGCATGTACCAAAAGTTCAGGGATCACATTGAACAAATTGAAAGTTCAGGGACCACATTGAACATTGGGTTAAAGTTTAGGGACTACATCAAATAAATTAAAAGTTCAAGGATCAAATTGCATATTGAGTCAAAGTTCAGGGACTGTTTGTGTCATTTTCCCCCCTTTATTAATGATAATGGATATATATATATATATATATATATATATATATTTTATGTGTGTTATCTATGCGAACTTAATAGTTTTACTATATGGTTCATTTGACTATCTCATCTCGATGGAGATATAATGTATGAATACAACCTAATAAATTATACCATCGTGATATGTATACTGTTGTCGGTAGACTATCTCTATAAACAAGCCAGCCATTAAAATTATGCTTGCTAATATCAATGGTCCAAATCAATTGATACCAGTCCATGGCTGGTTCCTCCTGTCTGAATTCCTTGTATATCTCTTTACAATAGTATGTTTGCCTAGAGATAATAGGTGTTAGAGCAAGTCTTAACTTGAGAATACATCGCCAACTTCAAGCCTTATTGCCCTTTATGTCGAGTTGTATAATGGGAGTACCTCTACAATTAGTGTGATGAATGTTTCCTTTTAATATCTAGCTTATTTTAAAATTATGATAAATTTTAAAATTAATTAATAAATATGTTAATTACTAGACGATATTCTACCTTTGCTAAAACAAGAAGTTTTTTCTGCTATAAAAAAGGCAAGCTTCTGTATTTGCTCTAGTTTTTAGACTTACTCTTACCTGATTGAGATATTAAAAATTATTAACAAATAAAAAAGCCAAACGGATGCTTCCATGGAACAAAGTGCTCTTAATAGGTAAATAAGATGGAAAGTGCCTTTTTCTAGGAAAAATAGTTTGTAAAGAGTATAGGTTTGGGTAAAAAAATCTTGATGTTTGGCAAGAAACCCACAATATACAAATTTAAGCTATTTTTAATCAAAACTCTACATCACTCTCAGCACTTAATATTATCAACACACAAAATTTATCGTTTAGCGGTTATGAGAGCACTCATTCTGTCTTTGATGAAAAAAAAAAACTCTTCAGTCTTTACGTGGCAATTCAAGTTTTTAGACGTAGAGCGAACAAAAAAAGTCAAGGGCTTTGACAAATTTTAGTAAAGCTAACATAAGAAAGTACACTAGAAGTCTTAAAGTTTATGCACCCAATGCAATCGAGTCCGTTTAATGAACAGGACTGTTAGTCGCTTATGGCACTAGGAATTTGGCTGCGTGAGAGCCTTAGATTACATTTCTTAATAATGGTTTTGGATTTGATCAAATATTAACTTAGGTACACTTTTTTATAAAAGATTTAGGACTCGATTAAATCAATTGAAATGTTTGAAACTTGAATTACTTACATAAAGTTTAGAGCTTTTAACTTACTTATCTTGAGATAAACTAAGATATGATAATAATCAGCAGTCCATTTACTCCTCCTCGAAATTCAAAACCATCCCCATGTTCAAAATAGCCCTTGTGCCTTTTCATTGTGTCCATCATTGGTTTCGATTGCTCTACTAGAGTGCTTTGTTGGTGTCGGAATGCTTTATTGAAATTGTCCCTCGTATTGGTTTCTCTCTGTCTCTCTCTGCTAGCTAGGTGTCACATTCTAATGTGGTGTTGGTGTGGTTTATGAGGTACCAAGTAGCCACGAAATCAACAACTTAAGATAAAAATAAAAATATGAGAGAGAATTAAATTACTATGCATTAGGAAAAACCCTTTCTTAGTTAGGTCTCCAACTTTTCTACAAAAGTTTCATGAGATCCCATGTCCGGCTACTTAAACATAAAGAATAACATCATTTTCTTTTATGAAGTATTTGTTTTACATATACACGGCATAATTCGTTTATTTGATGTTAAACGAATAAGGAACTAACCAACCCAAATTCAAATCAAGTTTAATTCAATTGTTGCACCTTCATAACACGAAAATGATTGTTGATCCAATCTTAACCTTCTTAATCAACTTTTCAATTATACTATCTTGGAAAAATGACACAAATAATTCCTGAACTTTGGCCCAATATGCAATGTGGTCATTGAATTGTTAATTTGTTCAATGTTGTCCCTGAACTTTTGGTATATGTTCAATTTAGTCCCCAAACTATATGAAAATATTTAATGTCGTCCTTGATCTTGAATTGATGGAAGGACAATATTGAATATTTTCATATAATTTAAGGACTATATTGAACATGTACCAAAAGTCTGAGGACTATATTGAATAAATTAAAAGTTCAGGGACCATATTGAGCATTAGGCAAATATTCAGGGACCACATTGAAGAAATTAAAAGTTCAAGGGTCACATTGCACATTAGGCCAAAGTTCAAGAACTATTTGTGTTATTATCCCTACTATCTTCTTAGGTACAAAAACTATGAACATGACCGTTTGTGCTTAAATATTTCTTGCACACATGGTATGGAAAAATAGAGGATTTCAAGCCCCACCCATTTGAAAGTCTTGACAAGTGAAGCTTTATGTTCATGTCGTCCCATATATTATATTACAAGAGCGTCTCGACTGCTTTTTTTTTTTTTTTAGTATAATCTCACATTGCACTGCAAAAACAAAAAGAAAAAAAGAAAAATCAATCCACAAGCTGGAAGGTTAGGAGAGAAAAAAGATAATGTATAAAACGCCTTCCATTAGATTGATGTTCGATTTGATGTAGAAGAAAAGCAGAACATAACGATTGGGGGACCATGAACACCCCATACCTTTATCTCCCAAATAAAATCAAAAGAAGATCCCCTCTTCACATGGTGGCATGTGGTTCCCTTGGAATGGTTTCAAAGAAAATTTTCATCCAATATATATATTTTTTCTTGGAGCCATTTCCTATATGCTTGAGAGTACTAATTTCCAAGATGATCCAATAATTGCATGAGTATGGCTACAAACATGGAAATCTTGATGACCAATTACAAAACCTGATACTAACATCTTCATTCATGCATTGATCATTGCATACGGTTTTCTAGTTACATCTCTTTTTTAGGTTTTTATTTGCACTTTCCAGATGCTATTTGGAATGTAGGGTTAGCAATTATTGTTGGTGTGTTGTATTCGTATTTCTAATTCAGTCGTATCCCATTTGTATTGACAGAACATGCATTGTAACGTAAGAAAAGATAAATGTTTTACTTATGATAACGTAGTAATTCGTGTCCATGGACAATATTCTTTCATTGAAGGATATTTACTTTATATTTCACAACGTAAATTGGTCATATTTAGAGTTGTGCATCTTACTTAACTTGATGTGTGAGATATGAATATTTAACGTATTGTTATGAAATTAGGGTTGATTCCCTTTTTTTTCTAAATTTTTACTTGATGTAATATCTGATGTGAGTGCACAAAGAAGTATTTCTTTACAAATCTTCTAGTTCCGACGTGAATGGCTTGTTTCTTACCAAAATTAGGCTTAGTATGGTGAGGGAAACTTCCTGCTGCAAAAGGAAATAATGATAGTGAGTACGGGAAGAATTAAAAACTTGTGTACCCAATAAATAAAAATTGTATTTTTATTTTCCAAGAAGATTTTCAGTTCCTTCAAATTTTTCTTTGCTCGGCAGAGCCCAGTCTGACATCTTCTTGCATACCCCACAACGCACTCACTTAAGAAAAAAGCAGGAAGGGGTTGGTTTCGAGGGTAAAATGAACCCTACTTACTGTCTTCTCCTTCTTCCACTCGATAAAGCTGGTTTTCTCTTGCAGATTTGTGCTAGAGTGGTCCATGAAAGCCTTTTGTATGGGCCTCTCTCTCTCTCTCTCTCTCTCTCTCTCTCTCTCTCTCTCTCTCTGTCTCTCTCTCTCTCTCTCTCTCTCTCTCTCTCTCTCTCTCTCTCCCTTTCTGCTATATCAAGAGAGAGTGTGTGAGTGTGTGGGCGTGGAACTTTGTGAACAGAAGTTAGAAGATTGAAGGGGATGTGAGATCTGAGGAGGTGAAAGTGCGTGCAGCTTGGAAATTTCAAGTCCTGTCATGCTTTTCCACAGCTTTCTTGAACTTCTTATCTTCCAGTCTTTTGATCTCTCTCTCTCTCTCTCTCTCTCTCTCTCTCTCTCTCTCTCTCTCTCTCTCAAAAAAGATTGAAAAAAACATCCTTAGAAGCTCAAGAAAGCTGTGGGAAAACATGGCAAATTCAGGATTTTTTTTTTCAAGCCATTGTGTTGCAGAGAAGAGAAAACTATCTTGATATTCCTCTACACATGTTGTGAAACTCAGCAGCTTCAGATTCATCTTTATGGTAACACCACTTGTTCTTATCCTCCCTTTTCTGGTTGTTCTTTCTTTTTGGGGAAATGGCATGGTGAATTGTCAGATCTAGTGCACACAACACATCTCAGCATACAATTGCAAATCAAAACCTCCACAATTTTTTGTGATAATTGGGTAATTCGACTTAATTATGCATTCTTCTTTCTTAGAAGTAACCATGGTCGTGACTTGTGGCATAAATTCAACTGAATTATGCATTTTTTTTGTTCCGTGTGCAATGTGGGTTCATCAGTGTTTCTGAGAAAAAGAAGGTGATTTCTGCAACTGATTTACTTCTCTCTTTCTTATAATCTTTATCCACTGCAACACGTTTCAGGCCATGCATGGAAAAGGGCCGTATTTTCCTAAAACAAAAAGAAACACCATAATCTCCCTTGTCGTCAGTGAAATTTATGAAAAACATTTCCATTATATCCTGCAAAAAACCAAACAAATTCTGATCACTCGATCAAAATGGTGAAAACGGATTGGTGTTGCAGGGGAAGATTCCTTCATCTCCAACACCAGTAATCATTAATTTATAATGAACGGTTCTTCCTGTTGCCATCCCTAGTTGTCTTACTACATCGTCTCCTATATTTCCGTGAAAAAAAGGTTAAACTTTGTCACCATGTGACCTCAAGATTTTACCCACATAAACCCACACACACTCTCTCTCTCTCTCTCTCTCTCTCTCTCTCTCTCTCTCTCTCTCTCTCTCTCTCTCTCTCCATGATATTGTCCATGCTACACTCACCTAAAATACCAGTTCAATCACATTCCAAAAAACCATAAAACTTGTGGAATAATACGTATTGTGATTGGCTTTTGTCAACCACCTCATCTGTAGAATCCGTCCGTAGGTGTATAGTTTTTTACCCTACCTAGTTTGACTCTTTCAGAATCTTCCTCTTTTGCACAGTGCTTTTAAAGGTATACTGCAATCTTAGTAAAAAAAAAATAGCCAAGTACCAATTAACTCTTGCATTTTCCCACCTGCTAAATTGAATTGAGGATCTTTTAACTGCCCATTACAGGTTGCAACATCACTTCATTGGATCTGAATTCATGAACCCATCAAGAGAAAAGTTGAAGAACGTAGAAGAAATGTCAGGACAAAGCACGTTTTCTCTCTCACACATTCACCATACGTGTTTTAGTTGGAGAGAGAGAGAGAGAGAGCAGGTAAGGATCTGTTGCAATTCTGACATGTTTCGCTTTTCATATTAGTTATTAATAGTTTCTGCGAGTGATTTTTTTTCCCAGACTTGTCAAGTTGGAATGGTTGTTGGGTTGAATCGCGCCGGATGCTCTCAGCACGTATGTTTTCTTGCTCCAGATTCAGTGCATCTCTGCAGAGGTAATCCTAGTTTTCAGATTCAATCAATGTTTAAAACATAGTATAGTTCTATTTTTATTTTTATTTCATTTTTCAAACATGAAAAGAGTTGAAAAAAACCCATCAGGTGATTTTAATATTCAAATTTGAAAACTATACTGAAATGCAATTTTCAGCTATATTTTTGCTCAATCATGGTAAACCACACAGGCCATAGATATACATTTTCAAGAAGCTTCCATCTCTTGGCCGTAAACAAGAAGCTTTCAATACTTAAATGGGTTCAAATGGTTTTCATCACACCATGAAGCTTGCAAATATTTCTAGTTTAATGCAATTGAGATGTTTTCCAGTCCACATTTATATATGCAGCCTAGAGAATTATGAGATGAAAAGATGGCTTTTGGTTCTCCAACTTCTCTATAGTGAACAGATTTGAGACCGTTGTGACCAGCATTTGCGAAAATCTCATTGTGCATACATGCTGTGTCAATATAGTTCCATCTCCCGCACATATATAGCTCAGAATAGTAATTAGTTTTGTGGCAAGTATTCATTTCCTAGTTGTGACTATGATTATCGTTAGTATGTATGATACTACATGTACTCTTGACTTTCGACAGCATTTTAGTAGAAGTGGGTGGATGTGCTCTTTGAATAAGCTCAGTTACATTGTACTTGAGATTTGATGTGGGAGGAAAAAAGGATCAATTCACCAGAAGGCCATCCTCTCCGGTCACTAAGTCTAAAATCAAATCTAGAGGAAAACAAAGTTTTCAATACGCAATGTAGTAACTCTGCCAATATCATACCTAAACATAGTCCTATGAACAAGTATTTCATTGTGGCAAATGGAAATACTTGGAGACATTATATCATATAGATTGGACCTTATCGAAGATATATTCTTAATTATTAACAGAAGATGACAACAAACAGATGATATATGTGTAGCTGATCTCAGTTAGTTTGGAAGAGGCTCAAATGTTGCTCTTATTGTCATTGTATCTAATAGACCTGAATTATACTGGCGAATGAAGGGAGATGACAAGGAGTTGGGAGTCCTAAAAATGACTGAAAAACTAGCAGCCAGGTTCCGCAGCCGAATAAGAGCGACAGTAACCCAAACTGAGTATAGGAATAAAATGAGAAGCTATCGGTTCAGAAATGTTGTCGTCGCCGGAGAAAAAGAGACACGGCACGTACCTCACTTTAATTTTTTGGGGGACGAAGTAGTGCACCTTGTTACAAGTGGGCCTAGGAGTTCTTGGGGACTTAAAAGTTGTAGTATCCGATCCATTTCAGTTTTATCATCACTGAGGCATCTTGTGTGCAGTTGTTCAGAAGACACAAACATTTGAATGCTAATATTTGTACTGAACAGCTGCACGACAATATCAGAGTTCGCCTCAAGCTAAATCACAAAAACTAGTTCCATGCATGATTGGGTTAAAAAGGAAGCAGATGCGGTGTAATTCATAACCTAGACTTCTCACCATGCAAACCTTTGCTTACAAGAAAATGAATTGAGGGAGTGCTACGCTTCACCAGACATGCCTGCAAGCGTTTAATAGGACTCTTGTGTACTAAAAGAAAATCTCTCTCTCTCTCTCTCTCTCTCTCTCTCAGAGGCATGCACGCATGATGACAATGATAAATACTACAACAAAACTATCAACAACAATGTTGCGACGACCATGCCCCTGTAATCTAAAGTTTCAAGAGAATATAAAACCTAGTTAACTTTCATGGAAACCATGTCACACATTATTTTGTAGCCTCAAGGTCCATTTCTAGACTCATAGTGTAGATTCCATTGTACAGAACAAACCATAGATCGGCAGAAAATACGGCTACATAGATACTTTTACCAACCAATTAAACCAACCTAGTTTCACATATTATTGCAATCTATGTACGGGTATAACTTTAGCACTTCTACTACATACCACCAAATGGGAGTAACATAGCTACATTCATCATGTGGATATATTTTCCAAATTGAATTGTCTTTATTTGTTAGCTCTTGGACAACTCCATAAGAGATAAATATGCTTTTGCCAGAGCAACCAGTAAGGGGCAGTCTTTATAAGAAGTTCGCGCCATAGAAACTTCTGAATCCCAATGTTGTATCTCATCATTTCAAATGTAGATTATCTTTTTGACTTCCTTAATCTTTTCAAATGAAAGGAAAATGTGGTAAATGGTTCTATTATTTTTCTTGGAGTCACCGAGAAGGTAACAAGGAATGGAAAGTTATAATTAAGTCACTAAGCTCAAACTTTTAAGACTCATTCATGATTAAATATTTCCTGGATTCGTTGTAATAGATTCATTATTGGTCAAGTTGTTCTAATAGATTAAGTCCATCATATTTTAAGGAACGGTGAAAATGTTGCATATATTGTGTTTTCTGGCTTTTGCTTTTAATAGCTATTTGGCATCTACATCGGACTTCATCCAGACAACGCAGATCCAATATGTTTCTCTTTCATCATATTTGGTTTTCCTGCCGCACCAACGATAGAATGAATCTACACAAATTATATTCTTTGGTAAATACATCTAATTATACTTGTTTGTTCGATTTCACTGCAGACTTTTTTAAAATTTAGTCGAAATTCATAATAGTCACCCTCTTGGTTCGAGGTAACTAAAAATAGTAAAAGCGTCACAGTCGTAGACATTTCAATAAACAAAAGCCCCTGATATGCTTGCAATACATGTGTAAAGAATTGTGGCATTTCAAAACAGACTGCGACTTAAGATTAGCTAAACAATTAAACTCCCATCTGAACAAATCTTGACCTAAATATTCCAAGATATGATTTCAGGCAGGGTGATTAATCAGACATGGTCAATGAGACAAAACTAATGAATTCAGGGAGCAAAAAAGTGAAACTGAAATTGATCTGCTTCGTGACGAAAACCAGAAAGGTAAAATGGGGATATCATCTCGCTCCACATTGGCAAGACCATGCACGGCTCAACCATTTCAAATGGCAAGGAACTTCATTAAAATTCAAAAGAATTTGGCCACTTTCATCTTCACATAACTACACAGAACAACAACCATAAAGGAGACATCTTTAATTTTTTTTTTTTTTGGATAGTCAACCATAAAAGAGTAATCTGTGAAATGCAATTACAGCATTCATCCTCATCATTAGAAAGATTGATGAGCTTTCCATGAACTCAAAAGCAAACAAATTTTGGCAGGTGAAGTAGATACGTGAAGTTTCGACCAAAAAAATTAAGTAGATACGTGAAGTTATATGACAAACACAAGTGACTTGTCTTGAAACATTATCCCACTTACAATCACAAAACAATCGGAAAAAAAATTACATGAACCGGGGCATACGCCATGAACCCCACCTGTATTTAAGGTGGATCACTAGATGGAGCGTTCCATATTTCTTATGCTGTAATTTCCAAACCACGTCCATTTGTCCAAAAAAGATAAAAAAAAAATCAAGAAAAAATGGTACAGTTCACTGTGTGGATTCGGCCTCAATAGGCTAAAATAAGAGAAGACATAAAGTATCTCCATTTTCTTTTGTTTTTTGGGTCAGAGAAGTATCTCCATTGACTCGGCGGAAATTTGTGAAGGAACACAAGGTGTGGTCATTTCAAAAAGCATGTCTAAAACTGAAAGCTCCATTACATCACAGCTTGTAACAGCTCATTTTGGTCCGTGACAAAGTCTTCGGCCAAATAGCAGCCCCTCAAGTAATGTAGCTCTTGGACCCAAAAAAAAAAGTTATGTAGCTCAACTTTTCACACTATCTATACGACCTTTTTAGTTATAGCGTTTCGGGTAGTAGTACTCTCGTTTTATGCAATCTAAGAATCAAATGCAATATTAGGACCCCATTTTTGTTTTGCAGTCACATGCAAATGGCAACGTGTTGTGAGTATGTTGTTCTCCGGAGCAATGTTTCGATTGAGGGAGCAGTTTTGAAGATTATTAAGGATGGTGTGATCAAGGGGCATACTTGGTTTAAGAGGAAAAACACAGGATATGACATTTTTCAACTGTCAAGGGACATTTTCTTTGACTATTGATTTTTTTAATTTTCCCTATAGCTTTTTGGATTATGAAATGGAAACCCTAACTTACATATTTTATTACTTAATCAATATCAGAGGTTTCTCCCACAAATTTAGTTGAAGCTTGAAAGCGATTCACAAGGTATAGAGGCTTAATTCAAAGCTTAAACTTGGTGTGGATGGAGCTCCAAAAAAATAGAAATGAAACAAGTAAAATAAGCATTATAATTAGGACTCCAGAATTATGCAAGGCAAAGAATCATTACAAAAAAAAAATTAAGAAAGGGAAAAAGAGCTTAGTAAATCCAATACAAACAGAAACACACACATGACAGCAGTTCAAAAATAGAAAATATGCAAAACTAATAGCACATGTCATAATTCAATTATAAGCACACATTTTACAGAGTGAATTAATATCAATCACAGAAAAGACTGATCATGATGGAATAATCTGGCAATCAAAGTGGTGACAGGCCAATACAGTAAACAGGCAAACAGATCAGAAGCATGAATTGCTTACAGATTTTGACTGATGGCCATGGACTGATGAGTCATTTAACTAGTTTGTCTTTCCCACAGTGCCTGCACTTAAGAAACAGTTTCACAAAAAATAATACAAATCAGATAATTAAAGAAAAAGGAGCCATCATAAAACGAAATCTGGCTATTTGACCAGATCTATGCATGGTTTTCATGGATCCCACATTATTGCTCACCTCGAAAAATGACGGATCCACAGAATGAACGTCCATTACATTTGTGAAACAAATAAATTTCATCACCACCCATTAAAAATCACATCTTCATGTGAATGAGATATGAAAATGATCTGACCAACATAAAAAAGTGCTTACTAGCTCGAGAAAAGACTTTGACAGGGAGCTTCACTGAACATACTGACCGTAATCCATGAAGTTGCAGATGCAAAACAAAAGCATGTGTAACCGCACAAAAAAAATCTCAAGAAATCACACAGATCCTGCACAAGAACATCTGTGCCTTTTTTTCTTCTTGACCCTCTCTGCATCTTCCCACAGCTTTATTGAACCGCACAAGAAGAAGAGGACAAGAAAAAAGAAAAAAGAGAAGATGGGTCTCCTCTAATTCTCCTCACATCTCTCCAATTATAACCATGCAGTTCAAGAAAGCTGTGGAAGAACACAAACAGGGCCATTCCACGACAAACCCATCAAGGCTCCAAGAGAGAGAAGAAAAAAGAGAAGGAGAAGAGATTCTTATGAACCGAACCCCATCAATCAAAAGAGAGCAACAGAAAGTGTCTGGTCGAAAAGAAAGTGAATAGGCAAAAGGAGAGGCAGAGAAAGAGAGAGGAGAGAGAGGATGGAGTTGGAAGAGAAGGATGATCTTGGGATGGTATTTATAGTGGGTGGGGATTTGCCAATCCCTAGAAGCATATTGGGCCTGATGATGATCTGATCAGATTACCACTGCTGCCACAGGAACAAGAACATCTCAACCCCACCTTTTCTTCTCATCTTTCCCTGCAATTAAAGAAAATCTGACTCCGGCTTAACCCTAGAGGAGAATTAATGTGGGTTGATCAAGAAAAAGCACCATTGGGTGAGGGGAAATCGGGACTGATGACGTGCCGGTGCGATTCAGGCGCGCAACTTGCCGTATCTGACGCTGTCGGTTACCCTAATTGGGGGACCTCCAAAACTCTAAGTAGGCCCCACGATTGATAAAGTGAAAGAAGTCTTTGTGTGACATAATACTAGGAGAGATTGCTAATTTATTAAAACCGACCCCCTCATTTAAAGGTAAGGGTGAGCATGGTCCGGTAGGCGATTCCCATCATGGAACTGGGAACGGCCACTAAGGATCGGTTTCGAAAAATTGGAACCAGAAATAGGCCGTTGGTTCCATGAATTCACTCGAAAACTGGACTGTCGGTCCAGTCCGGTTCCCAGGTGGGTCTATAAAACTGGTCCCACCAAGCCTCACGCAAATGGAAGTGACCGAGAGCGAGAGAGGAAGACTATGAACGGCCAAAGGCGTGGCAATGAGTTGATGGGAGCTGAGAGTCGAGTTTCAAATTAGGGATTTTAGAGTTTTTATTTTTCATAAAATATTTTCTTTTTTTTTGTTGAATTTTTTTTAAAAATATATATATATACTGGTCCGGTCTGGGTAAGCGGTTCCACGCCTAAAATCGAGAACCAGACCAGTACTCACTTGTTCTAGTAAATTGGAACCGGAAATCGAACGCGGCGGCTCCCGTTTTCTTTGCACACCCCTAATTGATGGTGCTATGGAAATACTCGTTAAGTGATCACACGTAAAGAATTGACATTTCAAATGCATCAACTGCTCTAGTGATATGCCTAATAAATATGTCAGAGAACCAAATATGTTACTATCTTCTTCTATTTTTGGATAAAAAAATATGTTACTATCTTAAGCGATTTAACAAATGCCTTGGAAAAATTGGTGTGATAAGTGATGTGGGGGGATTTTTATAATCGAATGTTGAGCATGACTCGATAACTGGAATGCCCAATTGCAACCCATCAAATTATTTGATAAATTGATTTAGTAAAACGGTGTTAATGTACCTAGCATTCCTCTGATAATACTTATACCGCATGTAAGTGCTTCCGTGGTATAGTTCATCCGGTAGCAAGTGTCCTCATTTGGTAGGATTTTGACTAGGGGTGAGCAACTTGGACCGCCCAAACCGGGACCGGACCGGACCGACAGGTTTGGTCCGGTTCTCGAGACTATCGGTCCGGTTCCCGATTCCTAAAAGCGGAACCGGTTTCCGGGCGGTCCGATTCCCGGTTCCAAGGGGGAACCGGACCGGACCGGACATATTATTTAATATATATTTTTGTTATTTTTTCTTTAAAAAAATTAATAAAATGTGAACTAAACTCTAAGTGAACTTCATTATTATAAATTCATTGATAAAAATTAGTAAAATGTTAATTAAATCCTAAGTGAACTTCATTGACATAAATTCATTAACAAAAATTCCCTTACCAAAAAAAAAAATCATTGACAAAAATTAGTAAAATGTGAACCAAACCTTAAGTGTTTAACAAAAAAAAAAAAACTAAACTCTAAGTGACCGGTTCCATTGGATCGGACCGGAACCGGACTAGACCGGCGGTCCAGTTTGGTTCCCGGTCCTATAACCAACCGGTCTGGTCCGCGGTTCCCAAAATTGGGAACCGGTTTTCTCGGTCCGGTTCCCGGTTCCACCTTGGAACCGGACCGGACCGGGAACCGATCACCCTAAATTTTGACAATGGGGGAATGGGGCAGACAAAAGGTACTTCACATTCTTATTAGATGAACCTGCCCATGGTACATGTATTAATGAGGTACACAAAAGTCATTGATTAGATGTGGACAATGTGTCACCACGCGTTATTGTTAAATGAATTAACAAGCTCTAAGTGTTGTATGCCTCATTCCATACTTTGATGACATGGGACCAACGGAGCACCAGATAAAATAATTGTTCCGACACTAAAGCCGTCGGGATGTGTTGAATGAACAAACAAATATAAGAATTTTCTGGTTGAAAACTCCAATATGAAGAATAGGAAGGAAAAGACTAGATAATCACTAGGGTGATCGGTTCAGGGTGGCTGCTAAAATCGGTTTCCAATTTTTGAAATCCGAAATCTATATTTTTTGTTCTGGAACCGACCTTAGAACCTCCATATTATCGGTCCAACTCCAGGATCTATAAGAGAGTACAAAAATCTTTTAATTGTTCCCAATAACGGAGCAAAAAACAAGGAGAAAGATAACAAGGGGAAGATCCCAAAGAATGAAACTTTAAATGACTCAAACGGTATGCTGCATTACCATGGAGGATCCAGGAGTATTTGCAACTAAGAGCTTATGATACATTTCAATAACCTTCAAGTCACGAAATGATAACCTACCTAAAGTAGGAAATTCAAATATGCAACAATATAATCAAATTCCTAATCTAGATTAAAGCGATCCTAAAAACAGCCTCAACTCAACAACGTATCCTATATCCTAAATTAGCTAAAATATCATCAAATCAAATGATATTATTACTCTAAATTCTAGTAACTGATCGGACAGTATATCTTCGGGAAAATTACAAAAAATGTTTTAAACTTATATATTGCACTAATGCCGATTCAGTTCTAAATCTTTTAATTGTGCCAATTAAGTATATCAGCCCAATTTAATCAGAAATCACTAACGTAGATACCGGTTGGGCCATGTAAGACGATTGGTTAAATAATTTTTTTCTTTTCTTTTTTCTTTTTCTTTCTTTCTTTCTTTTTTTTTTTTTCTACCAAGCCCTGTGACGGTCACTGGCTGACCCTCGCCAGTCATAGGCCCTCCTGCGACCCTCGTTGAACTTGGAAGAAAAAAAAGAAGAAGAAAATTAAAAAATTAGAATTTTTTTTAAAAATTATAAAAATTATCCACACCAACGCCAGTTATGCCATGTAGTCCACATCAGCGATTTCCGGCTAAATTTCATAGGATGGACTCAATTGGCAAATCGTGAAAATGTGTATGATTCAATTGACATACTTGAAAAGTTTAAGACTAAATTGACACGAGTGACAATAAATTAGGACTTTTTTGATAATTTCCCCGTAAATCTTCAGCAAATCTCGATGCAATCTTGATCGTGTTTCTTGTCATACTCGCTCGATTAGAGAGAACTCGTCCTCGAGTCTTGAAGAAATGATGAATCATATCACTCGTCCTTGTCCACATTCCAAACGATTCGTCAAAATCTTCTTGCTTCGCGAGAACATATGCCCCAATGAACTTTTTTTCAAAAGGTTCTTGAAATAGATCAAGAACGACAAAATCGATTTAAATACTCTCAGCCTGTGTTCCACTTTGAATGGGTTTCTCGCTTACCGTTTCGCTCTTGGAGTTACCACCGCTTCGTCTTTGTCACCATAGTGATCGCAAAATGACTGCGTGCACGGATTTCCTCATCATCCCACATGATCGTTGCTGCTTCCTCTTCCAAACCTTCATTATAATGGTTGTTGATCTCTTCAAACTTTTCAAATTCCATTTCTTTGGAAAGATCGTTGTCTTCTACCATCTCGGAAGGTAAACGATCTTCTGTATTTGGAGAATCTTTATCTTCATTTGGACGACATTGACTTTGGCTCTGGCTTTCACGTCGTCCAAGTTTCCGAATCCGCCTTTGGAGTTTTTGAATTCGTCGATGCGTTTCCTCTATCTTGATACCACGTTAATCTCTAAAATTTTCGGCACTATTTGTTCAACTCGGGGACATTTTGAAACCTTAGCTCTAATATCAAATGTTGTCGGGAGATAGCTCTGACGTCGGGATATGTGTTGGAACGAACCAATAAAGTACAAGAATTTCTACATCTTGTGAGGTGGAAAACCCCACTATGGAGATTGGATTGACGATAGTGAGATAAGCATATATCCGCGGTTATGTGTTAACTTTGTCCATCCAAGAAAATCCTAAATCTATGCTATGGAACTGCTGGCTCGAGTTTTAGTGGCAAAAAGGGAGATAAATACCAGTGCGGAACATTCGGTTTTGGGCTATAGTTACTGGCTCAGAATCTAAAGCTAAGAAAGGTTGGGCATAGGCTCGGGACGAATGAATCCGTCACCGCAACACCATCGGAGTGTTCATCGAACGTATCTCTCTCACGATTGCATCGCGAGGGATTTCACTTGATACATCAACCTCGTGCATGCCAAATGAGATTTCTGTGGGGTGGACTCCACGATTGAAAAGGAGAGAAATGCGAAGATGGGAGTCATTACCCTGAATTACTCAATAGGAATATTGTGGTTCATTTAAAGTATGGTTCTTTGCATGAGTAATTGAGAAAATTCAAGATTGAAATTTCATTACCATGTGCTATTCTTTTAATACGTCAGATAAATCATATTGGGTTTATCAAACTTTCTCCTAATCAACATTTTATGTTGGAATCTCGAAATGTTTACCCTATTTCACCCTTAGATTTTCCAACACCATTTTGCAAACTTAGAATTATGAGTGTAATTTGATCTGGGCTGATGCCTAAAGATAGAGTCTTTACCTATTTTGATGCGTTGAACTTCTTACTAATTCGATTTTATCGTATCGTGAAAGTCGATCAGTACCACTTTTAAGAAAAAGTACTAATTTTTTAAAGTTTTTTTGGTGACTCCTAAGAAGTGGGTAGTCGACCTTTTCTTTCGAGTGGCTTTTTAAACGAATATTGTTGGGGGTACTAATAGAATTATAAATTGAGACATTAGTTGGGGATCTCCTGGTCCAACCTAATCCCCATACCCAACCAGCAAACAAATGTCAGGAGGACAAGTTCGTGGAAACGCACTTTATCATTTGTCCCCATCTTCCCGAATTGAAGGCGCACACATGCCTGACACCATCGGCAACAGGTGTGTCTTCTTTGATTTAACCCCCGACTTTGTCTTTCTCCTTCTCCAGTTCACCATGGTAATTCTACTGAGAAATCTCAAGTAAAAGGTGACTTCTCTCTTTTTTCTCTAGTCAATAGCCATCACGGTTCTTGTCCGATTTCCCACGAATTTTCATATGATGTGTTGAAATACCTCACATCGCTT